TTAGCTATTATACCAATACCTGGTCATGAAAATTCTGCTATTGCTTTTTATGATTGTGCTACAGGTTTATTAATCACAGGCGATTCGTTATTACCTGGACGTTTATATATAGCGAATTTTTCTGCTAATGTTGAATCTATATCACGTCTAGTAAATTTTATTGAATCAAATCGTCTTAATGTAACATCAATACTTGGTGCACACATTGAAATGACACAAGAAAATACAATTGATTATCCAATTGGTGCAACATATCAACCAAAAGAACGTCTATTAAATATGTCATTAGATCAATTACATCAACTTAATAATGAATTACAACAACAATGGAAAGATGGTTTTAGTCATCGACATAAAACTTATTATGATACATTTATTTTTGATCCAAAACCATCAGAATTACCACCACTACCACCTAATGAACGCATGTCAGTTCATGGTTTTATATTATTACCATTAGATAAATTAGGTTATGTATGGATATCACATAAACCAATGTTTCGTGCACCTCATGATTTTCAACTTACTTTTCTTGCATTAATTACAAATTCAACAGTTAATCCATTACCATTGCCAACCAATATAACTCAAATAAATAGTCAATGGACAATTCAACCTGAACAATGGTCATTAAATAATTTAATCAATGGTAATATAACTGAATTTCGTACAAAATTATATACAGGAAATTTCGAACAAAGTGGAAGATATTTATGTGATGTAACAGTAAATATAATTCGACCATTGTTAACTGTTATTCAATTAAATGAATCAGAAGTTGAACCTTATCAACCACTACGTTATTCAAGTTATCTATTATCAAATTCTACAGCAACAACTGATAAACAAATTCATTTTTATCTTCTTCATCAAATACGTGTACAACCTGATTTCGATTCTATTGTTCATGTTGTTATTAATCCAACAAATTGTACAAGTGATATAGATCGAAGTGAATTAAATAATTTATTACAACAAAATGGAAATGAATGGGCTTTTCATGGAATCGATAATGAAATTGGTACTCGTCTTACACGAGCATCTGGATTAGTGCGCGCCCAATTACTTGGTGATATTTATTCAACAGTATGTACGATGTATGTCATTGCAGAAATTCAATGTACGATGGGACCTGATTTCTATGACACTTGTGATGTTTAATAAATAATTATAGTTCGTTATCTATAAACAAATAGCCTAGTTTTCTTTATTGATAAAATAATATTTGACTTTTAATTGGATTTCTACGCAATGGAAGAATTTAATTACCTAGTACTCTTTCATTGAAAAATGTATCATGTAGGAAATAATTACGTATTGATTCAATTGTTATTACAGAATAGCAACTTACTAATCATTTAGAATAATCATGAATATATTCAATTATATATGAAACTATTACTTACATATTGCTATTTCGTTGGTGTTAGAATGTGGCTTATAATAATAAAACTTAATTGAAGTGAATAAACTTTTTGAATATGAAGCTTGGCTATTTTTGTTGACAATATTCTACTAGTCGAAATGATCAAATAGAATCATGAATATGTATAGTCAAATTATTATAGCTCGAACAGATCAAAGGCAATATTGTTGACATTCATTTTATACGAAGCCAAGTAAACTAAATATTTCTGTACGTTTTAAAAGAGAACAGGACTTGCAGAGTGTCATATAATATGCTAAAAAAGACCATTTACAGGTATAGATATTGTTACAACCTTACAAAAAACTAATATTAATACTCAATATATTTTCTTTATCAGCAGGCTTCCCGTGTATACTTTCATTTCTTTCAATATGAAACCATATTCTATTACATATTTTTATTAATCAAAAATATATTTGTATCTGACGAAAATATTATAAAAATTTTACATTTAAGAGAAATAATATGTCGTTAAAAGTTATCTTTTCATCTTGACTAGATAAATACAGAGTTCAAAACAGTTATTTGATATAAATACTGTACATTGTATAATTACAAGAGAAAAAAAAAGAAAGATCTATTTTTTAAATCGTTTTCCAGCTGATTTTGTATCCTTAAACATATAATCTTCGATTGAACTTTGACCACGTTTTGTAGGTGTCTTTTTGGTTTTTTTAATATTATCATTTTTCGATGTAGGTTCTTCAAAAGATTTTCCTTTGATAATAAATGAATCGAGTGTATTTCGATTTGGTGAAATTGTTTTACTAAGAGATTAACAAAAAATAAATATAAGAATTAATAGTAAATATTTATTTATACTTGTTTTGATCGGCAATAAATGGACGAATATTATTCATATCATTTGTTTTTGTTGAACCTACACTTGGTGTGACTCGATACATTTGAATATCATTATGTGATACAAGTAATGGAAGAACCTAATACAGAAAACAATTATTTCACATAGAAAAATTTGAATTCTTACTTTTTCAGTATCATATCGGCCAAAATCAAGCCATTGATCAATTTCTTGTTGTGTCGTTAAAATAGCCTATAAATCAAATAATTAAGTAATAGTCACAAATATGATATCTCATACCGGCATTCGTACATGTACATTTAACATTGTTTCACTAGCATCTACTGTACAAACTGTACATGAATATAATGGATCAGTCTAGTTAAAAAACTATAGTATGAAAATAGATCAATATTTAAATCATACTTCGCAATTTCGATTAATATCAAAAATACCAGCCATTGCTAATAATGGTAATTTTCCTTGATTATCTTTATCGATTTTTTCAAGAATTTTATCAGTATCTATATTAGGATAATGTTTTTCATTAATCAATGGTTCAGTTTCATATATAAAATAAGGTGTTTTCGGTACATTCTGCTTCCATTCATAGAAACTAAAAATCAATAATAGAAATCAATGAATAGAAGATAGTTTTAAATATACCCTTCGGCAAGAATAACACATCGTCTACCATTCTTTAATGGTACGTTAAATGTTGGTTTTTCTTCAATTGTTTCTACTCGACAATTGTTTAGAATAGGTTTATATTCATTTAAACTGCCTTTATGATAATGTGGAACAAGTGACCAACGCATTGAACAAAGAACTCGTGTTGCTGAATCTTCTGTTTCATCGAGATGTTTAGCCGAAATTAAACAAAGACTATGATAATAAAAATAGCTCAATTTGTTATATATTTTTTTATGCTTCACTATACCAAGTAGAAGTTGGAGGTAAATTCCAACTTGTTCGAAAAGGTTGTATTGATGACATTAAATCAATATATGGTGGTAAAATTGTTTCTTGTGTTTGAGAATTCATATAGGTCGATAAACGACGTACAACATCAGGTGCTAAACCACAAGCAAAACGTCCACACATATTTTTTTTATAACTTTCTAAAAGAAATATTTTTGTTTTGTAGAATCAAAATCGCATCTTTATATTTATTTCAACGAAAAAAACAGAATAAAAGCAAAAAAACACAGACGAAATTAATATATATTCTCATTAATCGAGAAATTAGCGCGTATATTGCTATTTATTTAATTTGTTTTTTTATTGCAAGAAAAAAAAAGACAGAGAGCGTAGTAATATATCTTCTAAATACATTGAATAGTAGTAAACGGACATAACGAATAAATGGATAAATAAAAAGTTTCACAAATATTATTAAATAGATAAACCAAAGACAGAAACAATTGCGTACAGATGTTTGTTTTCCCAACTAGATAAAAAAAACAATGTTTGTTAGTTTTATATCAAATTAATTACTTACCGAACAGTGCAACTACCATCAGTTGTATTATCCCAATAACATGAACTAGCTGTATGTAAACCAGCTCCATTCTTTTGCATGATCACCTATTAGATATAGATAAATTTAGAGGGTATTAAAAAATAAAGAAAAAAAGATTACATACCGCTTGTACAATATATTTGAATGGTTTACCCAATTTTGTAAGTTCAGTTAATACATGATCAACAATATCAGCTGTCCATCGATTAACTTTATTATGTTGATATGAATTTCCTCCAATAATACGTTCTATTGTATCTTTAATTATATTTGATACTTCGTCAATAACAAATGATGTATCTTCTCCACTTATCACTTCCATTAATCTGAAACTAAAATGATAATAGTAAAAAAAGAAGACGACAAATAAAATAGAAACCACAAATGTTCTTTATCTTTTTTTTTGAAGGAATTTTCAGAAACAAAAAGAAGAAAGAAAAAAGAATTGAATAACAAGGACATTCTTATTCTTCTACATAGGCTTTCTTTCTCTTCACTCCGTCTCTCGTATTGATATAACAAAATAAAAAAGACAGTGTAACTATAAAGAAAATAATGCCCTACGATAATTTGCCTTGAGAAACAATAAATGAGTAAGAAGAAATGAATAGATACATATTTTGTAATTTAATATATATCACGATAGAGTATGACAAAAAGAAGAAGAAATAGATATTTATTTTTGTCGAAAATATACGTTTTTTGTATTTGATACAAATTCGATACTACTCATATATATAGATTTCATAACATAACTGAGACGTATCAATACAACTTCTTCTATTCCTTGTCGTAACTATTCTAATCCTTTTGCCCTTTTTGCGATATAAAAATTCCAACAACGAACTTTAGTGATTAACCAACAACAACAACAAAATGTTGAAATCGATATGTGACCGCTCGTCGTCACTTCATTCATTGTCCCACTCCTTACTCTCTATTCTATGTGTATACTCCCTTTATTTGACCTCTTTTTTACCTCGTCGGTAACATCACATCACGAGGTAATAAGGCACGATCGTCTGTTGTTATTCTCCTCATTGTTGAATAGATTCTTTTTCTTTCTTTTTTTTTTATTCGACTTTCACGTGTCTATTGTCTCTCTCACACACACACATAATTTTGTTCAATGAACAAAAGAAACATGTGTTTCGCCTATTTTAAACGACATTCATCATGTCAATATGTCTTTCAACTAATGTAAATCGATAGAAGAAAAAAAAAAGATCGTCTCGCAAACTGCCTTTCATTCGTAAAAATGAATGATGTGAAATATATTTTAACCTTAATAGAAAAAAAACGAGAAGTAAAGAGTAACATTACCAAATATTCATTTATTCTATAAACACGTGCCTATGGAATAACAAAAGAATGATAATTTATTACAAATATTCATTTTGCTTTTATTTGATTGGTACATAGAAAATATTAAACGCTACAATCAACGTTAGTAAAGCATTGTCGTAAAGGTTGAAGACAAGATAAAAAATAGTCCAATAAAAACAGGAATAGAAATCAAAGAGTTAAGGAAAAAATTGTACATTTTTCGATTTATTTTTCTCACTTTATTATATTATATATTTGACAAGTATTTTCTAGGAATTTGTTTTTTTTTCTAAAACAAAGTATGTCATCAACAGAAAAAAAACCACGTTTAGTATCGACCAATTCGATATTATCTGATAATGAATTAATTCAACGTTTTCGAAATGCGTATGAAAATCAATTGCCATTTCATGAAAAAGGTTTGTATGGAAAAAAAGAAATGAAATTATTTGATATTAGTTTTTTCAAGTCATAAGATTAGAACATGAACCATTTTCATATTGTATCATCGATGATTTTCTTTACGAGAAAAATTTTGATCAATTTTGTAGTCAATTAACTAATGAATTAGCCAATATTAAATTGAATCAAAAAAATAATGATCTATATAAATTTCAACAGGTGAAAAAAGAAACAAAATATTATTTTATATAAAAAAAAATTATTAATATTATATAGACCGATGATTTGGCTAATGTAACATTGCCTGCTATCGAACAGATCAAGTGCGTTTATTCGATATATGGAATGATATTATATTTCTCTTCCAATCCAGGCAATTTCTCTATGTCGACTTCAAAGATTGGCTCGTACAAGCAACTAATATTCGTTTAAGTGATAAAATTGATATGACATCTTCGAGATATGAATATACAGGTAATTTATCTAATATATTGTTCTATAATCGAATAGTATGTTTTTCTTCTTCTAAGATTATCTCTTGTGTCATGATGATGATATACATGGAACAACTGAAGGTCGTCGTATTGCTTTTATTTATTATCTTGTACCTGAGGATTGGAAAGAATCTGATGGTGGAGCATTGGATCTATTTGATACTGATGGTAAATAGAATTACTAATTTATTCAACTTTCTTTTTTTGTTTTGTTATTATTTTCAATTCATAGATGAAAATCAACCGTATCGTATTTCAAAATCATTAGTACCAAAACGAAATCGATTGACTTTCTTTGAAGTTACTGATAAATCTTATCATCAGGTAGCTGAAGTTTTAAATGCAAAACAAGGAGCTCGCTTATCAATTAATGGTTGGTTACATGGTCCTGTCAATGCAAAATCAACATCTATGTTTGAACCATTTCCTACTACGAAAGCAGCAACGAAATTTCAAACAACTGATGTAATACCTATCTCGTTTTTTTCATCTTGCTTAATTATAAATCGAAGTTTTATTTCAGTTAGATCGTGTCAATCAAACGGTAACACCAACGTATCTTAAAGTTGAAACTCAATATGATATTCAAGTGGCATTCCAAGAAAATTCCGAAACAAAATTATCCGAATTTTTTCAAGTAATCTTAATTAGAAATATTAATATTTATTTAGTTTTCTCTTATAGAAAGATTATTTTCAAGCAATAGTCAAAGAATTACAAGGTGATACAATTAAATGGATACGACGAGGACCTTATAATAAACGGTAATAGAATAAATTATATAGATTTCAAATAATAAAAATAAATAAATATTTATAGAAATTATGATGTTGCCGATGTTAGTTCTTTACCATCGGCATTACAAAATCTCGTTGAATTATTTGGTTCTGAACCAATGTTTACTATTCTTGGATCACTTACTGGTTTAACATCAGAAAACGATGAAGATGAAGAAGAAGAAACATCCTATGAACCGTCATCTAAGAAACAAAAATCAACTCCTACTGAAAGTGCATCGTCAACATCGTCACCAAGATGGTATTTTGAATTACGACGATGGAAACATACATATTACAGTTTATCATTTGATACAGAAAATAATAACGATGATGATGATGAAGATCAAGAAAAGGATGGAACACTTGATGTTATGATCTTTTTTAATTATCATTCTGGTATTTTATAAGATTAACAACATATTATTCTTTTTTCGATAATAAAAATTTGTTTGTTTAGAAGATAATGAAGAAACAGTTGGTGGTGGTGATGTCGTATATACCATTAAAAACGAAGATGAAACAGTATGAAGAGATTTGTTTTTGATATTTAAATTGATTGATATTTTTCTAGTTATTACGTGTTGTTCCTGACGATAATAGTCTCAATTTAATTTATCGTGAAGATGATAACGTGCTAAAATTCAATAAATATATCAACCATCGACAAGCAAATAATACCTTCTATGAATTTTGTGCATGTTATCTTGATTTAGATAAACTTAAAATTGATTAATAAAAATAAAAAAAATAAAATAAGAATATAAATAAAAAGATAAGCTTAGATCTATTCTTGTAGATTAGTTATTTTACTTTAATGGCTGCTAATGAAAATAATTCTTTTACAGAAGATAAAGATGATCAGAAAACATTATCATTAAAAAGAATTATAACAGTTTCATCGGATGATGATGATAATGATAATGAACATAAAGAAAGTAATAAGCGTCAACGTTCATTATCATTAACAAAAATTAAACCTTCACAATTAATGAATAAACAACCTGTTATACGTAATACTCGACAAACATCTTTATCAATTATAAGAACTAATAGTGATGAGGGTGATAATGAAGAAAGAAAATGGAATTTAAAAATGATTACTTCATCATCATCATCATCCAATCAAACCCTATCGAAGCAACAAAAGAAGAAAATGACGCAAACGGTATGTATAATCGATTCGAATAAGTACTGATTAGTCTTCATAGTATAATATTTTATTTTAGAAATTAACAACACTATTCAAACAAAAACCTTCTAGTCCACTTGTTCGAACAGTTTCTTCACCTTCAATTGTCAAAACAGAAACAGTGACAGTAACTGATCGAACACGTACAGTATCTCTTGATGGAATTGATATTGATGAAGAAGAACTTTTTTCTCAATGGAATGATCAATTAAATACTTCATCATCAGCTGCTACTACTACAGAGGCAACAACAAAAACTGTTGATAGTAAATCAGTATGGAAGCAGATCTTTGGGAAGCCAGTCAAACCAAAACCCATTGTTGATGATGATGAATTAAAAGAACAATGGTCTCAATTAGATAAAGAACAACCACCAAGTAATCATCGATTTTATAATCCGCCAGCTGGTGTAAAAAGAATATGTCCATTTTACAAAAAAATACCTGGTATATTTCTCTTTCGTTTTTCATGCATGACTACTATCTCGAATTAATCGTAAATATATTTAGGTACAACATTTTGTGTTGATGCATTTAATTTTGGTAATATTGAAGGAATACAAGCTTATTTTCTCTCACATTTTCATTCTGATCATTATGGTGGATTAAATAAAAAATTCTCCAGTATGCTTTATTCAAATCAGGTTTTTAGAAAAAAGTATTTAATTTTATTATATAGCTTTGTTTTATTTCATAGATTACTTGTAATTTATGTAAAAGTCAGTTAGGTGTTCGACCAGAAAACATGACTATCCTTCCTATGAATGTATTTACAAATATTCATGGTATTGACGTTGCTCTAATAGATGCAAATCAGTAAATATATGAATGCGAAAATATCTTTTTCTATACTTATCTTTTTTGATTTCAGTTGTCCTGGTTCAAATATGTTTTTATTTCGATTTCCAAATGGAAAATTAATTTTACATACAGGTGATTTTCGTGCAGCATCAGATATTTTAAAACATCCATTACTTCGACCTAATCAAATTGATACAATTTATCTTGATACAACGTATGTATTTGACTTTATTTGATTTTGTTTTTTTTTCAAAAAAAATTTTTATTTAGCTATTGCGATTCACATTATCGTTTTCCACCACAAGATGAAGTTATTGAAAGTGCTGTTGAATTAGTTTCAGATGTATTAAAAGAAAATTCAAAAACATTGGTAGCCGTTGGAGCATATCTTGTTGGTAAAGAACGCGTATTCCATGGTAAATTATCGATAAATATCTATAAATCAAATAAATATTTATTTTTGTTTTAGCGATAGCGAAAGCACTTGATTGCAAAATATTTGTTGAAGCAAGAAAATTTCGTGTTCTTAATCAACTTGAAAATGATGATTTATCGAAACGTTTAACAAAGAATCCACATGAAACAAATATTCATGTTGTTGGTATGGGTTCAGTTACTCAACCGGTAAAATTCAAATGTATTTTATATATAATATCTATTTTTAATTAATAGATGTTGCAAACGCATATAGATAAATATTCATTAAAATATAGTAAAATCATAGGAATAAAACCTACAGGTTGGACAACTCCTCGATCAACAGGTGGATCAAAACATTATTCAATTGAAACTAAATCATCAAATATTACTGTTTACGGTTTGTGATTTTAATTTTTAATAATAAATTGTTTTAATTTTTTTAAATTTTTAGGTTTTCCTTATAGTGAACATAGTTCGTTTAATGAATTGAAATTTTTTATTGAATATCTTAAACCAAAACGAATAATTCCAACGTATGAAAATAATATTATATTTAAGCATTTATTTATCTGTATTTTATTCTATAGAGTTAATATTGGTCGTGCAAATATACGTGACAAAATGAATGGTTATTTTAAACAATGGCTATCAGTTTAGATTTTTTCTCTTCTTCTTCTCATAATATAAATATTCTCTATTATACAATTTGAACATGTCAGATTTAAATGAATGAATAAATAATCCTGCATTTTATCTCATTTCTTTTTCAGATGCCAATTGTTATTATTGGAGGTGTAACAGCTACCGGTAAAACGACTACAGCTAAAAAGCTAGGAGATATATATAATTGGGATTATATTGAAGCAGATGAATATCATCCACAAGCAAATATTGATAAAATGCATGCTGGTATAGCATTAACTGATGAAGATCGTCTTCCTTGGTTACGTAAACTCCATGAACAATTAGAAAAATATTCATCATTGAATCAAAGTTGTATTATAACATGTTCGGCTTTGAAAAAAACATATCGACAAATCTTATTAACTGGTACATCCGATCCTGATATTAAAGGAAAACTGCCAACAGAAGATTTTTATCTTATTATGTTAACATTATCGAGAGAAGAATTACATAAACGTTTACTTCAAAGACAAACAGAACATTTTATGAATCCAGCTCTATTAGAGTCACAATTAGATACACTTGAATTACCTAAAAATGATGAAGATGAACCTCATATGTATATTATCAATTGTGATGGTCTTACACTAGATGATATTGTTCATAAAATTCAAAATATTGTTAAGCAATAAACATTGTTTCCGTTTTATTTTTCATCAATATTCTTGTTAGTTACTTTCTATCCTCAGCTATAGTAATATTTTATACTTTCCTATGATTTTCATCAGCATAATCAAGTAAACGCTGCTAAAACAAATCTAAATAATGAAGTGCTTCGGTTTTTTTGCTCAAATTTTATATGTGATTATTATATTTGATTAAGAATAAAATTCCTTTAAATTAATCTAAAACTATAGAATTAAAGAAACAATACTTTCGCTAGCTTGTCTAAATATTAGTAATGTAGCTGTATTATGTTTATCATTTGTCATGTAGCTCACTCAAATCAATAATAAATTTAGAAAACACAAAATTTATAAGTCATTTCCATCATAAAATCCTTGTCTTATATATTGTGTTCTCGATTTAACTTTCATTGGTGAATCTAACAAATTATTATCTTCATCATGTGTAGTAATCGCTGTATATGCTTGTTTTATATTAGGAGGTGTTGGAGTTCTATCAGATGCAGTTGATATAAAACTACTACTTCGGTTTGATGAACGAAATTGATTATTTTCTATTGTATGTTGATAAAAGATTAATAAAATTTTCTTTATGCCAAAATATCCAATAAAACCAATAAGAAGTAAAAAGAGAATAATTATTATAATCCATGACCATTTACGAGTTGGAGATGCCAATGGTAACAACATAGTTGTATTCGTTAATACAGTCGTATTCATTAATATAGTTATTGATAATGATGTTATTGTAGTTTGTTTTTGAATGATAGGTTCTGATATAACAAAATGACGATTAGGGGGTTTGAGAAAATTATAATTGTTCATAGCAAGTGCACATTCATCTTCTAGAAAATAAAGGAAAATAGTTTGTGAAGAAATGTTATCTTTATAATATACTTGTTCCAATAACTTCAATTGAAAAACATTGAACATCAGTCGATGGTAGTTTAAGTGCAAATTCACCAACAAAACATATTTGATATTTTTCACATAAATTTGGTGTACATTCAAATATAACTTCAATACCACCATTAGCTAGTATAATAGGTTGATTATTAGTACATAATGTTGTTAGTTCAGTTATTGTTTGATCTTGAGGTTCAATTAGAAGACAATTTGGATTAAGACTAACTGATATATAGACTGTATGTTTAATTTTAGTTATAGTCATATTAGAATGATCTTCATTATTTTTAATAATCAATTCTGGTTGTGTATTACAAATAATATCATGTAAAACATGTACTTGTATACTTATTAAAGAACGTGAAAGAATTTGATTGTTATCTCGATCGATTAACCAAAATTGACCAAATTGTTTACCAAGTTGATTTGTTTGATAACTTAATTTACATTCATGATTAACATGTACTGTTAAAAATTTACCTAGATCATCTTCAAATTGTTCGCATAAAATCTCATCATCTATTTTTAATAGAACAGCGATGATTAATATGAACAAATCAAAAACTTGTTTTTTACTATCAGAATCATACGCAAATATTTGTATTTCTCTTGGTTGATTAATATCAACATAATATGAAGCTGGTATATAAGGATAAGGTGATGAATTAATTCGACTAGATTGTGCTCCAATAGTTAAATTAAAATAAAAGTGTTTATCTTTAGACGAGGCCCAACAACAAGATGACTGGAAAAAAACAATGGTATCAGTTATAAAAGATAGCTGTTATGCTAAAAAGTTTTTATAATATCGCTATCGTTGATATAACGAATAAACTAGTGAGTCGCGAATTATTTTGTATAATAAACACTTCATTTACATTCATATTTAATCAGAACTATGAAGTTTTCCTTCTAAATCCTATCAATACTATGACCTTTTTCATTTACATACATAATAAAGTTGAATTTGTTCGTATTTTTCCATTATTAGCAAAAACTGACGTCGTAATATTGAATAACCACTATTTTGATTAACACTTTCACAGTATCCCCAAGTTTTTTCTTGAAAATTTTTACATGCATAGTTATTAGATTTACATGTAAATTCAATATTATAGAAATTTATATTTCTTCGAATTGCTTCTGTTTCATACCATAAATATGTATTATTATTACTATCATATGGTACTGATTCACCAATTAAATATACAATCATATGATCATTTACTTGTTCAGGTGTACAAATAAAATAATGATTCGATATATGAAAACGTAATTCAACTAAAATTGGTTTATATCTATTATAATCAATAGGTTGTGAAATATGTCGATAAGTAAATGAACCACCGAGAAAATGTGAAGCGTTTGTTAATGAAAAAAATAAAAAAAGATTTATTAAAAAAAATTCTACGATCATTTTTCCAAATAAAAACAAATTCCTCTTTTTTATTATTACGAACAAAACGCGCCTACAGAAACTCATACTTGTTAAACAGAAATATTATTGTTGAATTAGAAGTGTTGTGATATTGGCTTCGAATTAGAGTGTGGGTGTAGGTTTGAGTCCATGTCTGGGTATGGATGTATGCTCTTTTAACTCACACCCACCCTCACGATAAATAATTCTTTGTAGTTATTGAAAACCTATATAGATATATTAGTGACCGTATATTTATTTAATAATGTAAAAGGTATATAGGTAGCAATAAAAAGCAATGAAAACAAAGTTTTTCTTTATAAATTCATTCGTTAGATAGTACCACGTTTTATTCAATAGGTATTTGGTAAATGTGGTGTTTTTCAATATCATTAAAACTTTTAATACTAGAACATTTATAGTTTTGTACGAATATATTAGTTGAAATAATAGAAATCACTCTAATATTTAATGCTATATAACCTGTTCTATAGAGTATCTCGTGCAGATAAGAAAAATAATATTTTCAAACTATTTTTAAATACTTCTCTTATGTCAGCAATAAAAACATTTTAATAAATATAATAATATATAATTTATAGTAACTTTTAGTTTAAGAAAAATAGAGCAATTACAGTATTTTCATTGACTGCCTAGAATATAATGAAAGTGAATATAGTTACCATTAGAGTGAAAAAAACATTTACTGCATAGAGATATTCATTTTAGGGGGCGATTTTTTCGAACTTTTCAAATGTGTTAGTGATCGAGAAGTGTTCACTTTAGGGAGATGTATACTAATGAAGTTTTCCTATCGTGCTGACGAATGCGTCAAATGTGTTAAAATATAGAAGGCAGAATAGCACCTGTGTTCCTTATTCCCGCTATTTATATGCACTTTCAAAAAGGTCGATTAAATTACACTAAGAACATTATATATTTTCTTATAGGAGAAAAAGCTTAACGTATACAGCTGATATCTATCAGTTAGTTTTCATATTTTAAAATAATATTCAAGGCACTCGTTTCAAGAACTGTAAAAGAAGAAGGAGACATTGATCTCTAACAGCACTATTTATAGATTTTGATTAGATCTTTTCGAGGGAAATATATTTTTTTCAGTATACTTAATAACTCATTTTATTACAAACGTCTACAATTCTTTTCACATATGCTTTCTAAGTACGCATTTCCTCTTGAACTCTTTTTACAAATATAATCACATGCATGAATCACGCGTCAAATAGTCTAAAAATATCTGTTTGTTTAATTTATTTCTATTTCTTATCCTATAAATCCTTAGAGAATTTTACATAGTATTTAATTTGTCTAGCGATAGAATAATATAATACATAGATACACGAAAATATTATTAAACCTAACTTAATTTATATAAGATTAAAAAAAGGTAACAACTTACAAAGAAGACTGCTCTATCTAACCAACTATATTTTGAAATAATTTATAAATATAAATATTTATTGTCAAGATATTAAAAATTTCCACCAAAATAAAATCAAACGAACTGTTTTATAAACATATTTATACAATAGATTCATTGACGTGCCACTTTAAGTCTACTTGCTAAGTCATCTGTTGAATTGGTTTTTGAATCGGAAGAAATAGTAGTACATTTTATAGGTGTTATTGTTGATATATTATGATGTGCTGTAGTTGCTGGTGCTGTACGTCGAATTTGTTTAACTGGAATTGGTCTTGTAGTTCGTTGAATAGTTTCTTTTTCAGAACTAAATGATGAATAATATGAATGATACTATAAAAATATTTATATTAACTTACGATCCACAACATAAATGCCAACAAATACAAAAAAGAATTAGCTAAAGAAATAAAAGTCTATTAAATCATTGTTTTATCAAATTATAAACATACAACTCCAACAAATCCACCAATACCAGCACTAAGTCCTACAACAATTGCTTTTTTATCATCATCCATTGTTCTACTAAAGAAAAAAAACCAAAACAAAATGTCAATTATTTTGTTTCTATGTAAAATAACACATTAATTTATATAAAAACAAAAAAAGAAAAAATTGTCATGTTTCAATTTTTTATCAGTAAGTATAATTTTATTCCTAAAATACATCACTTCAAAATTGGCACTTCTTTTTCTTTTCTTTTTATGAACAAATTACGGGCGTCTTCTTTTATTTCCTTCCTTTTTCTATTTAATCTATCGAGAATCTATATTTTTCAGTACTAACTGGAATTAAAAATGAATCATTTGAAAAATATCGATTATATTTATAAACAGAGAGATACTCACGATGAACAGATATCTTGATTTCTATACAAATATAGATGTGTGATAAAATTTCATATACGTGATATTACCTCAACTTTTAATAGCAAAAAAAGAAATGATAATGAAAGGAACTTGTCAAAATGAAAAATGCAATAGTCGTTTTCTTCTTACAATATTATGGAGAGAAAAAAACGTGTGAGTATACTTTGTTGATAATTGTTTTTATAGACGCCATAGAGTAGCTCAATCATATATGGATATAATATTAAAAGAAAGAAAGAAACAATTGATTTCCCAAGTGGTTAGAATGTTGATTTTGAATGTTAACCTTCATATAGGATAAATGACAAATATGTTCTAAACATTAAAAATGAGTTTAGTGATCCAGATAAAAGTATGATAAATCTTAAAAATTCGATTATTTATTCCTTATAAAACTTTGCTATGATACACGAAAAAAATTACGATTATTATATACCATTTACTGTTAAATAGATTCGTACATCTATCACGTGATATTCTGTACACTGCTGTACACCATAACTATAATTTGTATTGTTTTTCATGACGTGAAATTCATGATGATATTTTTTTGCTTCTTACGAATCGACAACAAATCACTCACTGATTTTAAACTACTAAATAATTATATAAATATTTCAAGATTTATAAAAATTGCTGACAGATATGTTTCATATGTATTTTTTTTGTGTCAACGTCTTATCATAAATTCAGTATGAGATGGCTCGCTCAGGTTTTGAATAGTAGATAAATAAACAACATTGTCATCGTTAATCATTTCTTACGATAAATATTTTATTCTATTTTTTTAGATGATGGCACATTCTTTTGATCTTTGTTTACTTATATCAATATCAAGACTAGCTGAATATTATTGAAGAAATGATGTTTCCATAAATCATATCATGAAGAATATTAAACAATCAAAAAGTTATGATTCATTGAATAAATCAATAAAATTATTGAAAAAAAAATGGTTATTTGGTGTACGACTACTGTTTCGGTCACATTGAATAACTAACTTGTATTCAGTCTTATGTTTCAACAAATAAATATTTCATGAAATGCACAAAGTAAAATACTTTGAATTCTGTAAACTTTTGAAATGGTTTACTATTTATCAATATAATAAATGACCAAATAAACTGTTGTCTTTATATACAGCATCTCATTTAATTGAAACTTTTTCAATCAGAGTTTTGTATTGAAATCACGGTGAGAGTTAAAATGGTTATAACTCGTTTCAACCCATTGAGTTGATACGCTTAAATCAATTATAACCTATTTTAACTCCAACAGTCATTGAAATTATGTTTTATTTTGCACAAGTAACGCTCGTCCGAAGACTCGCTTAGCTCTTTCTCGTGGAAATCCATTTTCTTCAAGTTTACTGGAAAAACAAATAAAAAACGTAATAATTTGATTTTCGATGTTTTTTTGTCCTATGAGTCCTCTTCGCCGCTACCCTCACCTTGATCACCTAACAGACCTCAGATTCGAACTCTCCATATTGAAAAACCTCGGAAAATCTCGTTTTCAAAAAATTGATTTTCGATGTTTTTTTGACCCTGCGGACATACAAGCAAGCAATCAATCAGACAATTTATGTTTACTGGACTCTTCTCTACGAGAAAGAGAATATAGGTACATGTATACCTATAGTTAAGCTCGAACGTTAAGTTGAATAAATCTCCATCAGTATTAAAGCAATATTTAGAATTTAGCAAAGATATGTATGTTATGGAATTTATTGATAACTTGTGCACGCCGTCGGTATCAGTCCGAATACGTGACACGTTCAGAAGCATTTCTTCTTTTCTTTTTATCCTTTCTCTCATCACAATAGAAGCCCGAGAATTATCATGCATATAAGCTATAGATCATTCATTTTCTTTTCTCTAATCGATTGTTTCACTTTGTGTATTTTTTTTTCTACAGACTCCGTTCGTTGTGATACAATTCATTGGAATAGAAGATCGTTTGTTTTATACTGATTACTATCTGTTGAAGTAAGTGAACTTTTAATGCAATACGAAGTTAGTTAACCATATCATTTGTCTGAATTAGCTTGAGCAAAAAATAAACATTCTAATCAATCATCATACTTATCTCTCAACTCATTTCAATAAACAAAGATATAAGTAAGTGAAGAAACTAATACAGACAAAATTTGTCAACATTCACATATTTTACAGAGATGGATGAAGCCGCACAATTCAATGAAAATATCGAGATTATCGATCTGACTAATGATTATGATATTAAAGAAGAACCAACAATAAATGATTATCATGAATTCTCCACATGTCTTTTTAATTGCAAAGTTGTAATTGAAAATAAGGTTCGTATAATACAAATATATATAATATGATAACTGATATTTTTTCATCAAAAAAAATTCGAAGATTTTCTTTCCTATCTTTGCTCCAATAATGTCTATCATCAGTATCGAATATGAGCAAAATAATAAGTAATTTATTTGTATAAAAATCTATTTCGTCAATGTTATTAAAAAAGTTACTTAAAAACTCGTGCCATCAAAATAGACTACTTTAGATATTCACGATTTATAGAAAAAAAAAGATACATAGATGTCTCACTGACAATTAAGTAATGAAACGATGATGAATATTAGAAGAGAGAAAAAAAAATATCCATATTGTAATTATCAAAGTATAATGAACAATATAGAATTTTCATGTGATATTCTCATTTAAACAACAGTTGAGATATAAAATGAACGTTATTAAGTTTGAATATTGATATACACTATAGAAAAATACTTCAAACAACTAATAAAAAAAGTAATATAACAATGTTAAACATAATCAGTATCTTCTCTCATTTGATTATTGATTAACTGATTCAATAGATACAGAAATAAGAAATGATTTCATCATACTTTTCTATTTATTCTTTAAATATTTAAGTCACTGCTTGAATATTCTTTTCATCTTTTCATATATATATTAATAATTACCTACGATGAACAATTATTAATAAAAATAAAATTCTTAGTACTGTTGATTCATCATACCCCTTCTTTACAATTTTAAAATAAGAATGATGAACGAATTAAATATCTGATATATTTTAATGTTTGATAATTGTTTAGATTTCATTATCAAGAATTCCACGACCACCAACAGTTCATACATCAATCACTCATCAGAAATCATCGTTGTCAAATAATGATGGAATCAAAAGAAAAAATATAAAAGTAATTATATTTGTTATTGTTATGCGTACGTTCAATATGTGAACCTTATGGTTGACTGACATTTACGCGTGCGATCATTAAGCGCTGACACTTACCAGCTGATATTTAGGCGCATCACACTTTCATGTAAATTGAAAAAGATAAAAAAAAATTTTTCCTTAAAATTGATCTGAATTTAGAACGAACCGAAACTTATATTTAGCAGCTGATAGAAAAAGAGTTCAAAATTAGATAAGCTTTTAATTTTCATTAATAATCCAATCTCGCTAAGAGAACATATTTTTTCTGTTAATACATATGAGAAATTCGATTAGATGAGAGCAAAACGAAACAAATTTATTTTACGTGCAGATGTCGTACG